CTCTCTTCTTAAGAACTGTCAGGTTGAGGGTGGCATGCAAATTTAAAATAAAATACTGTATAAATCACTTAAAAATGGAGGTGAAAAAAAAAACCCAGGATGTTTTTCTTCCCTTAAAACAAATATTTTCCCTAACATTTTAGAGTTCATAAATTACTTGGAAAACACTTTTAACTTTGGAAGAGTTAATGTGCTGTATGTTTATTAACTCTTATTGCTAAACATATTGCTGTATGTTTGTTCTCAAATAAAAGAAAGTTAAAAAATAGCCCGGCCGGGCGTGGCTCAGAGGTTAAGCGTTGACCTAGGATGCAGGCGATCGGGGTTCAATTCCTGGTCAGGGCACATGCCCAGTTGCAGGCTTGATCAATGACTCTCTCCTCATTGATGTTTCTATCTCTCCCTCTCCTCTCGTCTCTCTGAAATCAATAAAGATATATTAAAAAAAAAAGAAAAAGAAAGAAATAAAAGCACATTTGGGGGGCGGAAACAAGCAAACTTTGCTTTTAAATTTTTATCTATCTGTACTATAGTAGATAATCTACATGTTTTTGGTTGGGTGCTTGGACCTAATTATGTGTGTGTGTGTTTTCCCCCCCAAAATTACATTTGAAACTCAAGAACTCAGATTATTTCTTTAAAAACGCAGATAATTAACTCAAATCCTCCTATATCTGTCTAAAATTTTCTCAGTGAGCCTCATTTGGTTACGTTCACCATCTCTTTGGCATGTCCTTTCCTGTGTATTAGAAAGTTAAAAAGGAATAATTTTTAAAAAAAACCACCACCTCAGGAAGTACCAGTGGGAAGGGGCTAATGCAGTGTGGAGGTGGAGGTAGCCAATGCTGACCTCAGTACTAATATCTGGGAATATATTGTAGATCTGCTGCATTATGGTGCAATCACGCAAGGTAAAATAATTACCCAGTCAGATTTGGCCAAAAGTACCAAGTTTAACAAAGAAGGTGTCATATTCACCTCAGAATAGCACATTGGGCCTTTTAAAAATGTGCAGAGACTATGAGATAGGTACCGTCACTGCACTATTTAGAACAAAAAGGGAAGTGACAGCATCTCTCTTATGGGAATTTTACTAAGGAGCATTAACGGGACGTCACAAACAACCAAAGAGTATTCTGATTTCAGCTGAGGAAGGAGGCGCTGTATCATCTCCCCACGCGAAAACGTCCCTCTTCTACATCTTCCTTACATCCCTTTTTAGTTATATGCAGTGAGTGGCCAAATGTTCTTCCATCCCATCTTAATGTGAATGTGACCATTTTATTTTTGACCCAATGTAAGTTCTCTCCCACTCAGTAAGCACTGTGTTTGGATTACAGAACAAGAAGATAATAGGTATTAGTAAAAATATTTTCATTCAGGCCAAAAGAATATTAATAGTAATTAAAACATCTTCTCCTTCCTTAGTAACAGAAACCCAAGGCGGATGTTCACTAGCACAGTGTCTGCACAGGTGGGCAGGAGCAGCCTCAAATAATTGCTTTAGCAAAAAGCCTAGTGAAGTGAAAGGTTCAGCAAAAGATCTAGAGAAGTCCAAGTAAATCATAAGACTGCAAGGAGACAACTTGAAATCTTCAGAGGTCTATGTGATTACTATTAACAGTGTGCTACATCACAGGAAAAAAGTGTTAGTATCACTTGTTTATTATAGTTTTTGTATTTGCAGAGGAGAGAAAATTAAGATTAAAATGCAAAGGATGTTAGAAGAGGAAGGAACCTTATTAACCATATGAAGATGACCACATATTCTGACTTCACTAGGACAGTCTTATATCTTTTTACACAGTTATTAATAGCACCCCATTCCATTCTCAAAAATGTCCTAATTAAATAATAAGCTGCACAATTAGGATATCTATGATAAAATGTCCTCATTTTACCAATAGGGTAAAATTGATTTCTCCTTGACCCAGGCATGCAGGTTGAATGTACAACTAACTACTGAATTCCCAGGCCATTGCTTTGTTCACTTTACCATGCCACCCTCTCAAAGTAAAAGGCTGATAATTTGATAGAAATAGACATATGGGACCTGTTAATTTCACTAAAGGTCAATGCAATGACATCACTAATTTTCAGCTGCCCAAGACATTACAATACACAGACAAGGAAAAAATGTTTTGAATGTGTAAATTGTAGTCTACTATTACCTCCACCCCAAGGGAAAAATTCTCTCATCTTCCACATCTGCTATAGCTCTATTTTTAGCTATATGCGGTGGGTGGACAACTAGTTGTTTCCAACCCCATGTTAGGCACAAGTGTAACCATCTTGTTTCCAGGCTTAATGTACTTTTGCCGCCACTCATAAGTAAGTACTAGAATTGGAACTAACTTGCCATGGTAAGAATTTTTCAGTTTACAACTGAGGACAGGAATAAATAATTTAAATTATTTTATCTGTCTTCCTTAGAAAATAAAATTGCCAATAATTTTCTTTTGATTGATCTCACCAAATATGTATTTTGATTTTTATTTCAAGTTGTGTAAGAATACAAAAAATTAATTTTTAAATCACAAGCCTAGTTTCTAAGGAGCTAGAGTTCTAATTATATAAATTTGTTAATGGTAATAAAAATCACCTTATTTCCAATTGAAATAAAGACATAATTTACTTAAAAAGTTTAAAAAAAACATGAGCAGTAAAAGAAGTCTGCATATTAAAGACAATTTCTTTAACTTTCTAATATAGAAGATATACCAAACCCATTAAATTACCAAACTAGTTCCAAAATGTCCATAAACACTACTAATCAATCAGTAAAATAGTATTTTACAGAAAGCTTTACATATTAGCAAATGACACCAAATTGTTAGCTTAGGTAGCTAGATATTAATAAAAGAAGGGAGCAAAGGGAATTAGACATTAAGCATTATAAACTAGAGAGCTGAATCAAACACTGGGCCTGCTGCCCTGGGAAGCTATAGCATTCACAGGCTCGTTCGCACGCTCCAGGAGACCCCTCGGCCCTGGGGACGTAGTCCTTGTGCAATTGCCCAGCAATCGCCTAGCAGGCAAGAAGAGCCTGCCCAGGGAACCGCCAGTTGGTACCAGATTATCGGGATTATCAGGGGAAGGAGGAGGGGAAATTCCTTTGCTGGGCACATGCATAGCAGAAGCCAAGATCGCAAGGGGGAAATCCGTCTATGAAGTACGCTGGGTAGAAAGTAAGATGGCAACCATAGGGGGCAGAGCCTAGCCTGGGGAAAGAATCGGAAAGGACGAGAGACACGGAGCCCGGGAAGAGCCGGGAACGGACTGGGTAAGGGAAGAACTTGTCAGAAGCCCGGGAAAATTGGGACATTGGTTATCTTGAAAGGGTGCCTGGTCCTTCCCAAGCCCGAGATAATATAACCCACGCTTAACATCAGTCGCTCTCTCCGGTAACAGCCGCCTGCCCTGAGCTCAGGCATTCTCTCTATAGCGCAGCCCGCAGCCGCAGCCCGCAGCCCGCAGCCCGCAGCCCGCAGCCCGCAGCCCGCAGCTGCGAGGGCTCCAAGGGTAGACTGCAAGCGCAGCCTGGGTACAGCAGCGCAGCACCAGCCAGAGCGCAGCCCAGGACAGACTAAGCCAGTCAGATAGAGTCAGAGACTAAACTGGGCTAAGCCTTGGCACAGCACAGAATTTCTGGGCACTGGCCCTATTTCTGGTCCTTCTGAAGACAAGGCTGGACTTTTTATGCAGTGTGGGGGTGGAGAGATGAGACCCTGGGGAACCTGGGGACATCTCTCCATTTCAACCCCAGTAAATCTTACAACACACCTCGACCACCCATATGTGGGTCCCCACAAATGCTTTTCTCACAACTCCATGAAAGGACCCCATTTCCAGCAGCAACAAAATCACTCTTTCCAAAACAAATTTACTCACTCATTAATAATAAAAACCAATTCACTGATAATTTCTAATGTAAGTCTATTTTGAGCAAAAAAGGGAAATATTTGTTTCTCTTTAAGAAATCCTTGAAGGAATTGTTAAAGCTTTAATGATGTATTTTTAATTGGCATATATTCTGACAAGTTTTTATAATAACATCAAAGAGTAAATGAGTATGATGTATATATACTTAAGATATATATTTATATATGTGGGTATGTATATGTAAAGACACACATATAGCTGAACTAACCATTAATTTATATTTAGTAATTTTTTTCTAAGGAAGGTAGAGTGCCTCCTATATGAAACTAAAGTTAAATGATACTTTAAAAGTAATTCTTGTGCCTTAGGAATTTATGCTAACTATATTTATATCAAAGCATTGGAATCATTATCATAAGTTAATAAGTTATGCATTTTAAAAATTGTTTTCTAGTGAATTTGCATGGATTTAACTACTCTACTAATAAACTCTGTCAAATATCTTTCTGGTCAACAATATATTTGCAAGATTCTTTGGAAAGTTTAAGTACGTAGCCTGTAATTACAAAATAAAAGTCAGGCAACCAGCCCACATGAAACAAACCCCCTTATTTTCACTGCCTCTTTCATCTGTCAAGCTAAAATAAGTAACCAAAGATCTCTTAAATTAATATGATTATAAATTTAGAAACTATCATAACAGAAAAGTATATGGTGACATAAATAAGAACATCTTAACTACACACATACTATCCCTTTACGTCGTGTTCATGTTCGTACAATGATTCTGTGCTAGATTAGGAAATAGTGAGAGTCATAGTAATTCAACAAAAAGACAGAGACTGTTAAAGAAACAAATATTTCCCTTTATTTGATTATATTACATCTACTCTTGGAACATTCAAAATAATTGAAATTCTTAATTTACAGTCTTCTAAATAATGCTATTTAACTGAAAGCCAGTCAGCAAATAGCAACATATATTTTAAAAGTTTACTTGTGGAAAGTAATTTCCACACCAACTCAATTAGTAGGGGATAAGGCAGATTCAGAATTATCAGCATTTGAGAATCAGAACAGTAACACTCAACATTTTATCAACAATGAGTTTGCCTTACTCCTTTGCCAGCTGCACACTGGTAGGTTTTGCTCCAATAGGTATCCCGTACTTGTGCAAAGTGTTAGTCAAAATCTCCCGCATGTCGTTGTTGTAGGAATCAAAGTCAAACACATTCCTAACCACACTGGAGAGGCCTTCGGTGGGAAACTTCTGCATTAAAAAAAATACCTTGTTACGTATGTTATAAAATACATAGTATAAAGATTTATAAAACTGACAGAACAATAATGATCCAATGAACTTTAGCAGATTAATAGCCTTGTCTCATAACCAGATAGGAGGAATATATACATTTTCTCTTTTAATGTTTGCTCTGATGACTTAAGATTTTCCTTTTTAAATAAATATTAGGATTTAAGGGGGCACAGTTCCTTCTCTCAAATGTTAAATCATGTTAGATCAAATGTTAGATCGTGGTGTTCAGTGGCTTCTACTGCTTTCTGAAATCTCCTGACTTAAAAATGAATACCAGATTGAACAAATTAAAAAATACTGTTTAAACAAAGGAGAGCACTGAATATCTATACAGAAATATTTAGAGAAGTCAATGGTCTATGAATAAATGAAAAAAATAACAGAACAAGAAAAGACAGAAAAAAGAAAGTAAAACTATAAAGCACAGAGAAATAAGGAGTAGCCGAGGGAAAGAAAATAAGTATTACTAACAGCTAAATTCACACTAGTGTAAATTTACACTAGTAGTGCCCTCTGGGTCCTTCACTGGCTCTGTCTTTTCTTAAGCACTGATATCTGAGCTGGACTTATCATGGTTTTATAGGCAGAATAAAGCTCTCTATATTTCTTTACAGGTTTTCCTTGGAGGGATGGGGATGGGGGAAAGATGAAGAGTCATGAGGCTATGACTATTAGCTTAAAGTTCATTTTTTTCTTATTTCATAATTATTAAATTTTTATTGAGCATTCTTCAAACTCATCTTAAATGAGTTTGAATAGAAGAATATGATTATATGAGTACAACACCTAGTTTTTTAAACAGTACAAAGTAAAGACAATTTTTAACAAATACTTTATAAATTATAATATACCATCTAATTGTTATGTACAGTTATTTCAACTCTGCATGCTGTACGAACTACCTAATTTCTAAGCAAATTAATCGCTGAATTGAAAATAAATAGACTTATAAACATTATATCTAATCATTAGGTCTAATAATTATCTGTTATAAATAGAATTTACATAGTTTTTTTGTTTGTTTTCTTTACCAAGGTTGATAGACTACCCATTATACATGGCTACAAGGAATTTCATTCTTCTGTTATAAAACTTTCTTGCCGTATTTACAGGTATATAATCAATACTGTTGGTTCCTAGTTTGTTTTCTGTACCTAAGTCTTTTGTTTTCACTCAGATACTATGTGCTTGCTGTATAAAGTCAAATAGTAATAAAGTTTCCCTGCTGTCCCACTCTTTTGTCTGCCCCCCGCCCCCCATCCCTCTAAAAAACGCCACCAAATTTCCTGGCTCCTTGGTAATGACCACGGCATAAAACTACCAAACTCAATTCAAAAACTAAACATAAAATGTCCACTGGTCTTCTAGATTTAAAATCTAGATTACAAACACTTCATATTATATCACCTGAATCAGTATAATATTACAGAAACTGAAAGACTTGGTATAAATTAAGCAGTCTAAAAAAAGATTGATGGTTTCTTTTAAACATTTATGCACAGGCGGTTGCCATACCTGTAAGTGCTTGACTATGTTGACAACTTCTCTGGTAGAATAAGGGTAGTTAATAATCCCCTGGTCAGCTAAGCTCCTCAGCTCTCCAAAGGCAGCCACAAGCTTCTGAAGGATGGGCTCGGGCACGTTTGGTCCATACTGCCTGAGCATCTCGAGCTCTGAATGCGGCTTGGGATTATCAACTGCATGGCAGCTAAAAATATCACCTATAGGGGAAAAAAATTTCACATTCAGCATGCAACTAATCCATTATAATGCCACAGGAAATATACAGTGGTTGTTTAGAGAGCCACTGGTTGCTCACAAAAGCACTGCTATTTTTAAATGTATAAAGCTGTACAGAAAGCCCATCCACAATAGGATGACATAGAGAAGACAGCAAATGACTAAAGAAAAGGAAACCCCACAAATAATACTTGAATACAATCTCATTGGCAGATACTCAAATATAAACAGCAAAAAAGAGAAACCCCATGTATTTCTGCCATCCCACTCGCTACCCCATAGGCACCCCATGTTAACAGCAGCTCCCTGCACTTACTCTTTTTTTAATGCACACATACAAGCATATATAGCTTTGGTGCTTTATTCCTTTTCCACTCAATTGGAAAATAATCTTCATATGGTTCTGAGACTGCATTTTTAACTTTAACAAATGTTGAATAGCTTGAGAAATTATATACATCCATCTCATATGCAAGTTTTACGTATGCTAAAAAAGGGGAATCGGTATCATCATTCTCTAAATAATTTCTATGTTGTGTAGATTGCTAGAATATACTTTAGAAGTTAGTTTTGGAAAAGTAAACCTACAGAGACAATGTCTAAATTAGAATCAAGAAGAAGGAATGTAGGAACACAAAATATTTCATCTGTAATTTAGGCAACTGAGAATATATTACAAAAATATAATCTATGCTCAAGAGAGATGACTTTCTCATATCAAAAGTTCATACAATTCTACTGATTCATAATCCAGGAGACCAGGGACAAAATGAAGTTAAAGTTGCATTATTTAAGATGTTCATTTTAGAAAGAAAGGACATCTAGATCTTACTTTGACTTAGAAACCATTTGACTCTTTGTTTTATCATTATTATGTATTTATAAAAACAACTGAATAAAATACAAGCCACGACAACTTCAAACTTGTATCTCATATTCTAAATCCGTTAAATACAAATGGGAAGAACAGCTTTTGCTTTTGGGGGGGGAAATCAAATGTAACATTAATATAAAGCTATAATTACCCTTCATTTATTCATTCATCAAATAATTATTAAATGTCTTCCATGTGCTGAGTACTACTCTAGGTACTTTACATATATCAGTGATAAAAAACACAAAAATCCCTGTCCTCATAGAGTTTATTTTCTGGTATAGGGAAATAATAAAAAATAAGTAAAAATGTTAGAAATTCTATGTTTCAAAAAAAAAAGAAAAAACACAGAGTAAAACATCAGAAATGGTGATGGTAGGGAAGTCAGGCTGGTAGGGCGTCTTGTCTGCAAAAGCAGATATCGAGGGTAAAAGCATTCCAGGCGAGAGTACAGCTAATGCAAAGACCCTAAGGCAAGCATAACCTGGCATGTTCCAGGAAGAGGCGGTAAAGCAGAAACACTGGGATAGAATGAGTGATGGGGAGAGCAGAATAGAAAACGAGGTCAGAGAGATAAGAGGATTTGGGAGGAGTGTAGACGTAATCATGTACACATATCCCTCTTGCCTTTTGTTTTTTATTATTTCAAATGGTAGACTACTATATCCACTATTCTGATTTACTATATTTTGAGAATTTTTTTAAATTGGCATGGGTAAACTTATCCCATCTTTTTTTTTTTAAAGAGCTGCACAGTATTCTGTGTGGATATAAGAGAATTTCTTTATCCAGTCCCATTTGGGTTGTTTCCATTTTTTGCTACTATAAAAAATGCTACATTGCCTATTTTTGTGCTTACATCATTGCATGGGTAATTCCCTTGGATGAATTCCTTGATGTGGAATTGCTACATCAAAAATCCTCCTAGGACACTGAGCCTGTGCATGCCGAGTATGAGAATTACCAGTATTCAGAATTACCTACTTGCCATTGAAAGAAATGTTCTTAAAGGCTCCTGATGATTAAGTTTAGCCCAGGGCCTTCCCAGTCAATGTGAATCAGTATTCTGAGCTGGCCTCCAACCTTTCCATAGTTAAGGGGATATAACAGAAACCAAACACTAAAAATCATTACTTATTTTGTGTTTTACTTCTAAGATGCCCTAAAGAACAAAGTATAGTGTAATTGTTTAAGAAAACAGGCTCTGGAATCAGAGCCAGGCTTTAACACCCATTATCTAAGTGCCCCTAGAAAAAGTTAATCTCTGTGAATATCAGATCTTCCCTCTAAAACAGGATAGCAAATGCCCTCCCAGGTGGCTGGGATGATGACACAGCAGCATTCAGCGACAACCATTACAGCAGTGTTATGACGACAGTACTATTATTGCTATTGCTACTGTTTCGTTGTTGTTATCATTATTGCTTTTACCTAAAGTACCGAAGAAATCATTGCCTAGGAAAGGAAATCCAGGTCTGTTGGCCAGAACAATCATCCTAAAATCAGGATGAATCACTATAACATTTTCTCTTCCATTGACATTAGCAGAATCTGAAAAACAAAATTTCTATTTATTCTCTATTGATATTTAATAATTCTTAAGAATACTAAGTTACAGCCTTTAAATAATATAACAAGTAGTCATACTGTTCAATTATTTAAAAAAACCTCTAAGAAATCTGGTTATAACAACTTGGTTGCAGAAAAAAACTTTCTTAAGAAAGTATGTGTAAGAACAGAATACTGATAAAGCATATACTAATTATACAGGAACTTGCATTTTTATGTAAGTTCAGTGTACACCTAAAAAAGCAAAGTTGTCCAAATGTACCCTTCAGTACTTAAAGTTGGCTTCAGATGCTGTTATTCGTTAAAAAAGAAGAAAAAAAAAGGAATCCGTAACAAGGGATAATCCAAAGCACACTCAAGGACAACCCAAACATCCTTTGGTTTTTACCAAATCAGCAGCTGCATCACTTTGCATAGAACCTGCCATTATGCAGCCAAGGAGTGACTCCTGTTCAGACTATATACCCTGAAACTTAATAACACAGAACAAAGGTCCTAAACACAGTCAACTAATCAGCACAATGATGGTTTCTTTCCAATGAAGAAATTCTACCATAGTTCTTAAAACTAAGTAATTTCAAGATTACTGGAGCTTTCTTTGTGCAAATGTTTAAGGTATTAAAGGAACTGGATACTATCACTTAAAAATTGTAGTTGTGAAGCACCTGCAGTTTCATTTGAGTCTATAAGAATCTACACTTGTATACTCTTTTATGACACCGAAAACTAACCTTTCAATGTACCATATAGTCATGCACTAATACAACCAGTAGTTTTCATGTTTGATCTCCATTAATTTTAGTAGTGGCAAATAACAAGGTATGTGGTCACAGGCAAAATTTAGTTAATTAAAATAAAAATGATAAAAAATGAAAATTTAAAAAGCAAACAAAATGAAAAACATAGCCCTAGAAGTGATGCTTTACGAAACCATGTTCAAAAGAGCTTCAGGGTTTAAAATATTGTTTACACTCAAACCTGAGTTTAAAAATTATGATGCACCTTTTACTTCTAGACTGTCTTTCAAAAATGTATCAGAAAATGTAGATGGTTACCAGGATATAATATCACTCCTTATCTACAATTTGTTTCAGCAATTCTTTCTTGCTTTCCATTTCAGTATCCTCATATGCCTCTAACTTAAAGGGCAGGCAGGATTGTATACCTTAGAGTCCAAATGATCTTTCCTAGAGATAGTATTCAGGCTGTCTAACTCAAATTCTCATTTTTCCCATAAATTCACTGTGAAACTGAAATATTAGAATACTTTTATCAGTACTGAGTTTCCTGGGTTCAGAAACAGCAATCTTGTAATGACAATGCCTAAGAACATCTTTGTGGTTACACACTTGAACTTTTTCTAAAACAAAATATCTTCATTGATTTCAGAGAGAGGAAGGGAGAGGGAGAGGGAGAGAGAGAGATAGAAACATCAATGACGAGTCATTGATCGGCTGCCTCCTGCTCGCCCTCTACTGGGGATTGAGCCTGAAACCAGGGCATGTAACCTGACTGGGAATCGAACCATGATCTTCTGGATCATAGGTCAATGCTCAAAGGCTAAGCCATGCTGGCAGAGCACACTGTACATTTTTAATGAGGTCTCTTTTACATGTTCTCTTCGAATATTGAAGATTTTAGTTACCAGTCTTAACTTGTTTGGTTACCCTGCTATTGGCTATTTATTTTCAATGGCTAGTTATAGATTTTCAAGCCTTTTCATGACACAAAAATGTTAAATTAGAAACTAGAAAATGTTCTCACATTGCATTAAACAAACTTAATTTTCCTTTATAGTTTAACTGGACTGTTTAGATTCATCTACTACATTTTCTCTAACAACATCAACAGAATAAATAAATAAAAGGAAGACGATAATCCAAAACAGAGGACAACTTCTTCCTGAGGCAGGTGTGTGTGTGTGTGTAATATACCTGTATATACACACCTGTTCACACATAGGTGATAAATATATGTATAACATAAAATGGCCAGCAAATTATCTAATTATACTGAGATAATGACATTAATTTTAATATTGTAATAGAAACATGCTAGAGCTTTAAAAAATTCCAGATAACAACCATAAAAGAAAATATATTACACAATAATTGAAAGATGAGTATAGTAAGGATTACATGCTGGTATTCTCAGAGTAGAAAAATTTGAAGCTGATCTGTCCTAAAACTATTATTGAAATTTTCAAAATACTCTCTGGCTACAAAAAATATAAAACTGAGAAAGCTATATTCAGACATACTGATTTTTGTAAATGACTGTCAGTAAGGACAACTTGAACTTACACTTGTTGCTTGGAGATTTAAAGCCAGCTAAGGATGTGACCAAATACCAGGGAAGTAAAAAATTGCATATATTGAAGGAAGAGATGCTTTTTTATACTCACTTGCAACGATGCGTCTTCCATCTGCTAGAATCATTTCTCCATTTTCTACTAGAGTTTTTAAAATACAGGTGACATTTGTTGGGGCTTTGTCTGCCTCATCTACTACCAGAACATGACCCAACTTTATTGCTTTAACCTTTGAAGACAGAACATTTACCATAAACAAAAATGAAAGCAAACATTTTAAATTTCATCATTCAATACTTGGGATTTATAATAGCTGGTTATGGTTAAGTTATGCACACACAGTCACAAAGAAAGTCAGTAGCAGAGCTGGAGACAAAATTTACAGATCTCCACAAAAAGCTTCCAATAGTTACTAAACTGCTAACTCTGCCGTAATTACTTTATTTCCCTCTAGCAGTATAATTATTCCCATGTTGATAAAGTCTACAACATATTACACATGAGAGTAGGGGAGATTTAAAACAAATATTTTATTCCATTATCCCATGGGGGTGGCATGAGACATTACAACAAATGGTGGATTTTAGAACACTGCATTTGTTATGTCTCTAAAAGAGTATACAATTTTTATAGGTAAGAATGGATTGTGAAGAGGTAGGTATTCAAGACAAAGGGTATAAATAGTCAAACTCAAGAAATCCTGAGGCCTACTGCGAGAAGAGTGAATAGGAATAGTCCATCTCAGCTGAAGCAGAGGTTAAATATAAGAAAAGAAGAGGGTCTGAAAGGGTAGATCAGGTCTCTGCTACTAAAAAATATGTACCGTCCCTCACTAAGTAATGGGATGTAACTAAAGATATATGAGTTCAGATATGATAAGAATGGATCCTGGAGCTATACTTTAGGACATTTAATCTGGCAGCAATATGCAGAATTGACTAAAGGGGGATTAGCATAATAATTTGGTCAAAAAATGTTTTGGGGACCTGATTTCAGAGGCGAAAACATGGGGAAAATGGAAATAAAAAGCATCAGACTGATCTCAAGAGTTTTTCAGAGGCATAATCTATATATAGTCTTGGCAACTGATTAGATGGGAAGAGGGGAAAGGAAAAAATAAGAAAACGTCCTAGGTCTTCGGTGACTGAATGAATGGTAACATTATGAAAAGAAAGGTAAAAGCTATGAAAACTCTTTAAAACATTTGGGTAGGAAGAGATACTCAATGAATTTAAATGTAAACCCAAAGATTATATTTTTAAATAGTAAGGAATATCTCATAACATACAATGGACTAAATCATAAATTTTTCTCATTACATAGTTTTGGCAAATAACTGTAAGGAAATACAGACTGAAAAATAAGTGATTCCCTCTACAAAAAATATTTTATTCGATATTCTTAAAAAAGTGATAATGACTTTTCTTTTTAATTTCAAGGTAAAAATAAATTGCATTAAAAAAGAAGAGAACTCATACAGCTTCTACCCCCAACCTCAGTCTTCCTTTTCTGTTCAGGGAAAGTTAGGCCCAACCTGGGAGAATTCAGGGAGGAGTTCCTAAAGACTCCAGTCACCGGGGTCTGGACCACAGAGGTTCGTTCTCATGATGGCTTATTCGCGCCATTGCCGCGAAGGCATTATCTACACAGAGGGCTAGGACAGGCAAGCAGGATTTCTTTTGGGCCTTATGTGAGAAGATGAGGAATGGATCTTTCTAGCTGCCCAAAACATTGGGTTAATATGTTATTTATTAAAATCATTTTTAAAAACATCCCAGAAGCATTATCTAATTTCAAACTCTCCTCATATGGGGAAAAAACAGAAAACTATTTTCTTTTTCTTTTTTAAATTCTAGAATGGAAAAGAAATCATTAGAGGATTTCAATCATTACCCTAAATCTCTCACTCTGGAGAGAGAACAGAGTAAGAAACAATGTTATTTTCCCCAAATAACATGCAATTAAATATCCACTCCCCAAATGACATATAAATGAGCTTTCCCGTTAAGACTGAAATATACCGAAATCTATGGGAGGCTCCCCACTCCCCCATCAAAGGCTGAAATACAACTATTATAAAAAAATATATACAGTTGAGAATATTCATATAATTGGATTACTAACCAAAGGTGAGTCTTCATACACAATAAGTCCATCTTTAACAGAAGGCTGAAGAGTAAGGGTTTGTACTGTGGTGTCCCTAAAGTTAGACCAACACATTTTATAATTAGGAAATAAAATGACAATTGATCATGAATAAAAATACAACAAAGAACATTTCTTATTTTCTTTTTGTTCATCATCCTATTTTTCCCAAAATGAATAAAAATAGCAGGTGAAATTCTGTTCAGCAAGAATACTTTGTAGATGTAAATATAAATTACAAGGGTTTGGGAATTAATCCAGGTTTACAGATTATCCAAATTCTTTACTTCTCTTTTTCCTTCCAGATAAAAAGACTGATCGCTTCTCCTTCCCTTGTGACTACTTCACTCCTCAAAATCACTTCCTGAGGGTGAAGAGGAGAAATTAAAAAAAATATGTTTCTATGATATATACATTATTTATATTATTTTAAAATAATTTTGATGGTGAGTTTGGTGATGACTGGAATGTTGACCTGCCAATTAAAGCAAGTCTATGAACTACACATCCTGGCCCTGGCCCAATCAATCTGCCATCACTAGGCAAAAGTCAGACTATCTCACCTCACTCACATTTCTGTGATTGGGGCAATCCATTTTATTTTCTTAAATCCACCTGCTACTATTTACATGACCACCCTCTTTAGATTACAATGTTCAGAAGTATTAATAATAAGCTACCTAGATGCTATATGCGCCTCACATGAGGAAATATGTTCACTCCACCATGAATATTCTTGTCAAAAATGTGAAATGTGTGTTCATAAACTGCAGGTGAGAGGTAGGTCCAGACATTTTTAAGGGGATCAATTTTATATCTTTACCTTTTACATGTGCTCTATCTTATGGCCATCTTGATCACATCACACAGAGAATTAAATGACTTTTAAATGTGAGTAACTCCTTCCTTTACAAGAGTTCAGAGTTGTTTTATCAAACTTATTCAAAATAAAATGTAAAGTTACAATTGTGCTGCTTTGAGTACCTACTATGTGTAAGACACTACCTGGAATGGGAACTTCAGACTTTAGTGCAATAACATACTTCTGAAACTTCTACCCAAATTCCAAATTCTACTATAATAAAATTATAAAATGTGTTATCTATTAGAAAAAAATAAATACATGAAAATCACAAAGAAAACTTCAAATATAAGTTAAGTCAATTTTTTTCATTAGCAAAACATACTTAATCAAAATTAGTCCACTGCTTTGAGAGGCAGTAGAGAGGTGTGGAAAGAGAACTTTGGAATCAGACCAATCAGGATTTAAATTCTAGTTCTTGCCAATTATTGCCATATGACCTTGGGTCAGTAATAAACCCTCCCCCAGGAGGCTCACTGATAGAACACTTGGAAAGCACCTAGCACAGTATATGGCAGATAAAGAGTGCATTTATATGTCAGCTTAACTATTTCTTGTTATCACTATTGCTGCTCTTATGACGGAAAGTTGCTTGTCTGTCTAACTTCTACTTGATCTTCAAGTTTTTTAGCATAGACAGTATTTATAGGAAATGCCCTCATTGACCCTTTTAAGGCCAGGTTAGGTGGCCTTGCTGTCTGTTTCCCCTGAGCCCTGGACCACACCCTGTTTTAGCCTTTAACATCCCATACTGTAGTTTTATTTTAATATCTACCTTTCTACAAAGACTGTAAGATTGAGTGTAGACCACATCTACCTTGATCTAACTTGTCCGTCATCCTGTTCCCAGAATCCAAGGGATGTCTCACTCATTGGAAGAATTTAATAAATATTTATTGAGTAAATGAACGTAAGAATGAAATGAACAAAAATGCTAAATGTTGAAAAATCAACTGTAGCTTACAGTGCCACATACAATATATGCACTTCCAAATTCATTGGATCATGGAACTCTTTTTTTTTAAATAAATCTGGAACTACAGAACTCACTTGTGTAATAGTTGAGTTTGATTAAGGCTAATTCACTTAGAGATAGGAATCTTCCTTATTCATTTATAAGTAAGTGTTGCAAAGTACAGTCATGTTGAGGAGTACATTTTAGGGTTCACTAGTCAAGGGTTTGAGGGGCAGATTTTTGATGTCCATCATGGACTCCAGTTGAGCTGAATTTCACTTATTATTGTAGCAGGTAACTTCTGCATCAGAGTCTTCATTTACCAGGGTGTCAGCAGGTATGCTGGCAATACAACTACTGACATTTAGAACTTCTAGACAACCTGCCCTATTGGCAGCTAGCTTGAAAGGCTTCTCCCTCTAACTTGACCAAATGGTGACTGACTTCTTTAATTAATTCCCTGGCAGTCTGGCACACTGCCTTCCCCGACCCCTATTCCAAGCTCCCAACCCCATAATCCAGGACTTGGTGCTAGTTCCATGATCTACTGCTTCCTAAGGCCCTAGCACTACACCTTACAAAGAATCTATTACTACACTTTAATCTTCACTAAAATTCAAATTAAAATGTGTCTAAAATAAAGCCCTGAGGGATGTTAAGGAAAGTGAAAATATATTATGACAATTTATTGGAGCTTAATAACTTTTAGTATGAATAAAATGTTTCTTATACAATATAATAATATATGGTCATATGTTCATTTTCTATATTCCTGGGTCTTATAAGTTTACTGTAGGAAGTAGTTTATGCTATCTTTTACTAAAAATTAATTTTTAGAGTTTATAAAAACCAAGAGCAGGATTTAATTAATATTACTTAAATTCACTGTTAATATTCTAGCAATACAGAGGGGGTGGGTGAAGAAGAGAAAATGATGTGTTCACACGGATTTTTATAGTAATATAGTGAATTTCTCACTTCAGCTGTCACGTATTTAATGGGCAACAACATGACACCTTCCAGCATCAAAATGGAAAAAGGAACTCTTGTATCATTGTTGGTAGAAAGGAAATTCAGTTATCTTAATAATTATAGTGCTTCATAGCAGATTAAGAATAGGAAATTCACCTGGCCGGGCGTGGCTCAGCGGTTGAGCTTCGACCTAGGATCCAGGTGATCGGGGTTCGATTCCAGGTCAGGGCACATGCCCGGGTTGCGGGCTCGATCCCCAGTGAGGGGCGTGCAGGAGGCAGCCGATCAGTGACTCTCTCATCATTGATGTTTCTATCTCTCTCTCCCCCACTCCTTTCCTCTCTCTGAAATCAATAAAGATATGTTTAAAAAAAAAAAAAAGAATAGGAACTTCAAGCTGAATTCCAACTTTAAAAGGCAAAATTAAGCTGGCTGGTTGGTCAGTGGTTAGAGCATCAGCCTAGGCACTGAAGGGTCACAGGTTCAATTCCCAGTCAAAGGCATGTACCTGGGTTGCAGGTTCAGTTCCTGGCCCTGGTCCAGGTACCTGTGGGAGGCAACCAATCGCTCTCTCTCTCTCTTCTTTCCTCCCTCCCTTCCACTCTCTCTAAAAATCAATGGAAAAAAAATATTCTCGGGTAAGGATTAACAACAACAACAACAAAAAAAAAGGCACTTAAAATTGCTCTACAATACTTGAATCCTGATAGCATACAACTTGTGAAATTAAAACTATAAGCACAAATCAGATGACTTCCAAAAGGGACTGCAAATGAAGATAAACACAAATGGGAATTTATAAGATAAAAAGGATTTTTATTGTTCTTGTTATTGATCCTTTGTCTTATACATGAAAAGAAATGCAAAGGCTAGTAAAATACATAAAATGAAAATTAACTTTAAAAAGTAGGTTGGCTTATATTCTACCAAGTTTCCCTGAATATATAAGAGTAGAAAACAATCCACTGTCTTCTGCATAGTACTTAATACAAAAAGGACGATTGATTTACAAATATCCTATAATATTATAAACTTTAACTTTACTTCCTAAGTGGTCAGGTGACCACTGTTGTCACAGGTGGCATATGAATTGACTCTTAAAAGCTGACTCTTTTTCAGAGTATTTGATTAAAATGATTGCTCTGTATGTATAAGCATCGTGGATCAAAGAAATTAATTTTCCAGACAAATAAGCAATAACCTTAGGAGAACATCTTATTTGCTACCATTTCCATTCTATTATGATTTGTTCCTCTCAGGAACAGCTTTGAAACATAAGCTTATAAAAGTTTAAATAGAGTCAATAATTTCAACACTACTGGGAGAAGAAAAGTTAAAACACATCTAGTCACATTTCCTCAGTCTAAGGTTTAACAAAGATATGGCTTCCCAGTACACAACAGTTACCAGAACGCTTGATGAACTAATTAGAATGTGCCACTAACTGCTGGCACTTATGTTTGCACCAATTGTTCTCACTTCTTACTATTTTACAAACTAAAGCTGTCCATCAATGAAAGCCTGTGTCAAAAGGAGGCTACTCAAAGAAATATGGTGCTAAACTGTAGTCTTCTTTAAATCTGTGACTTTGAAGTTTTTAAAAATTGGAGTAATTAATGTTTCAATAGTAATTTTAAATGATTTCAGAAGCAATAAAAATAATTAGCTTGTATAAGGACTAGGTTTTTTGTTTGTTTGTTTTTAGTCAAAATAAGGGAAGAAAATTGGCTTCTAGAGAGCAGGCACAATCTGTTCTGACATGCTGCTTGTGAAGGTACATTAAGCTAATATCCTCTAATTTATTAAGGAGCAAAAGATCTCAAAGCAGTCATGTTTATTTTGAGGATGATATCTTAGTGAGCTCTATTTTAATTGGTTTATGGTTATTTTCTCTTAGAAAAACAATGATAATTAAACATAAGAGTGAAGGAAGAAATAGAAACAGTTTCAAATAGCTGACAAGAATCTTCTCTAACTTTTTGGTTCACTAAAATAAATATGGCTATAGCAAGAGTCCACTCATTAATATAAGCCAAACATGAGAAAGGAGAGATATGATATGGCATGTAGGAAGTATGTAACAAATTTAAGAATTTTTTTATGTTTACAAACATTCTGGGCTCTCTACTGAATAGCAATACACCACCTTCCTGCTCTGCCTATAAACAGCAAATTCATTTCACCACGTTGGAAAAGAAACTGCCCCAGGCCCTCACACAGAAACAGTTATTATTACAAGCAGTGTTGCCATCTAATACAAAAAGAG